CAGGAATAAACACGCAAGCGGTTGCTTGAAGGACAGGGAAGACTTCCACCATCAGGACCTCTGGAAGGAGGAGAACCACTGCAAAGCAGGGCATTCCCTCAGACACGTTGCAGAAGAAGGCCACGGTCAGGGGTACCGAAAGCCAATGAGAGACCTAGGAGGACTGGACTCCCCCAATCCTGGTCTCTCCATAAGTCATCCATAAGTGCAACCAAGGCAATTCCCATCCTGTATCCCGGCCGGAAACCGATTGCCAAGGAGCCAAATCGTCGGCTTCCTCTAAGGCTCTCTGCAGTTGCAGAGCATCAGCCCTTTCAGGCAAGCCAGCTCAGGAACTGGACACCACAGAGCCTGTTGAAGCTCTGCGATGTTATTGTGGGGCACAAGGACAGCAGCTTGAAAGCCTGTCAAAGTGTCCCACTGACCTCTTTTATGGGATGCAGAATCAAGACGGGATTCTTTTTACTCTCTTAAGTAGGAAAAATGCTGAATTCGATTTCCTGTCTGCTCCTTTCCTACATCTACTCCCTCTACCCAGGGATGCAACTTTCTCCAGAACGTCTCTTAAAATGGAGATGTTCTACAGTTTTCGAAAGCAGCTGGATGGAGACAGGTTCCTGATCGGGGGGACCTGGGGGGGTTCCTTATCGCCCCTTCCTCCTGACCACATGGAAATAACCCGCTTTCTCCACTCTTTGCATGAGGTCTTCCACTGCACACAGCATCCAGCAGGGGGCGGCCTCTACAGAGGGGAAAACCATGCACCTCAGCGCCAGGCCACTAGAGGGCGAGTGCCACAGGTGGCTTTCCAGAGGAGGGTGGGAAAAGGAGTGACATCATTACATCTTGCCTCTCTAGGAACTTGTAATCTCTGTCTTTAACCCATTGAGCTTCGCAGGAGGTAAAAAGGCTGCAGGAAAGTCTTGCAGGGAAGAGATCCAGATCAGGCCTTGGGAGAGGGAGAGTTTGCACTGCAAATCTGCAGCAGGAAAGAAGGTGCAGGGAACCTGCAAGGAAGGAGGTGCCCGAGATTGTGCCTGCATTCTCACCACGCGCTGATGAGGCTGAAATAGGGCTGGATCCCCTGCAGTTCAACACGTCTCAGGAGGGTGAGTGAACCACAACATCCCCTTAAGCTTAGTTCCTCCAAGCCCTGTGCTTTGTGTGAACTCAGCCCCTGCAGTTGGGGGATGTGTTTCGGCTTAAGGCATGTTGTCTGAACCCGCCTGCATGTTGTGGTGTGACTTGGCTCTTAAAAGCAAACCCTGGAGAAAGGGAACGAGGACATCCCAAGGCAGGCTCATTTCACTGGCATTTCATTTTATCTGCACTGGACTTTGGGGGTTTGTTAACCTGTTTGGGGTTTGTCATGTGGTGTGAATCCTGCTTTTAGGGAAACGTAGATATGGGTTTTTAAAAAGCCAGCCCTTCCTTCTGAGAAAAAGAAACAGAAAATGCTCCAATAAGCATTTATTGGGCATTCCAAAACCTTCGGTGATGTCAATCCCATATTTTGCAACACACACACAGAAATAAACACAGGACGTCTCTGTTCAATGCCACTGCCATCCTATACCAGCTCAAAAAAATGGTGCCTTCCATGCAGATGAGTGTTGTTCTATGGTGAAATCCATCACTTTCTAATTCTTGGAATTTCTTTTCTTTTCCATCTCAGACACAGAAAGCGGAAGCCTTTTGTAGGTCCTTGTGTACAGACAAAATTCTCTCTTGGACAAAGAGGGCTCTGTGGCCTGCTGTGGTCATTCCTCAGCTACAGGAACAGTCCTATGAATGAAAAGGCATTTGGAGAGCCACAAGATTCCTCGGACCT